TCTTTTCAGCCTCTGCTGGGCTTTGTGTCCGCATCCCAGAGCTCCAGCACAGGTCTGGCTTTGGCATAGCCTGAAGCTGTGTGTGGGCAGGCAGTACAGTACCTTTGGTATGTGCCTCCCTTATTGCAAATTGTAATGCGGCAAGGACCCTAAGCGTGCCCTTTCTTTGTAGCACACGTGAAAGTCCGGCTGAAATCAGTTTGGCAAGTTTTGCTCCCGTGTTGAATTAGAACCAGACCTCATTTTAAAACGGGAATCGAATGTGAATATTGAAGCTTTTAGATAGAGACTTGGCTTTATTTTGGAGTCATAAGCAGTAATGCCCTCTGAACTTTACAGATAATGAACAACTGAAGAAAATGGCAGTGTAAAACAAAGTCCTTCACCCTTCTTGCTGAGAGGCCGCACAGATCAGAGCAGATTAGCCTACGCTGAGCTCTGTGCAGAATAGTTTTTGACATGGGTACATCTACTCTGAATAAATGGTAATAGTTAGAAGGAGGCTAAACAAAGGATCAACAATTGCATATTGTCCTGGATTAATCAGAAGCTATAAGGAGAGGACACAACAATGTTTTCTGTGTTGAGGGAGATGATAGGCAATTTGTAATCTAGGTGATTTTAAAAGTTAGAAGCAGTTTCTCTTGCTTCATCTTCTCCTGAGCCACCCTGTTTATGCATATTCTTAAAATCACGTTATTTGGGTTTGGATTTTTTGTTGGCATGCTTTTCCTGCATGCTGGATGAAAGTGTCACACAGCAAGCAGGGAGAAATGCCTTTTCCTAAAGCATACAACCTGAACACCCAGTGAACACTTTCTGTAACCTCATTTATTTTCTTGCTGTGTCAGCTGCTCCTGTTTGGGGGAGGGAAGGAAGAGGTGGGTAAAAAATTTGTGCTAGAAACAGGTTCTTTTACGTGTGTATTCTGCTGTCAACCCTTTGTCTTTTCCTTCTCAAACTACAATCACAGGGGCAGAAGGTTTCTGCCTGCATTTAGAAAATATTTATTTAAATCTTTATCCAAATCTGCTGTAGAGACAACTTTAAATATTGAATTCCACTCTGGAATAAATCTGTCTTAATATAATTATTAATTAATTGGGATTATTAACTGTTTATGGTATGTTTCTGAAGAGCAGTGTCCTGAGCAATTGCTTGCTCAAAGATGAAATGTAAGATCCTGGACCTTCAAAAAAGTATGCCTTTTTTGTGTTCCTGGAAAAAATGTCTGTTTCATGGGTTGGTTTTGCTAGGAATGTCAATTGTATGAAAATCTGAGGTAAAGTTACAGAAGGGTATTGCCGTGATGAATGTCTTGAGAGATTAAGAGTGCCACTCATTGGAAATTTTTCTCCAGATTCTTTCATGGAAAAATGCTGCTTTTGACATAAAGCAAACAACTGGAATATTTAATTACAAACCAAATTGCACAATATAATTTCAATATTAACAGCAAGGGATAAAAATACAGTCCAGATAAAACCAGAAAATCTTAATGTTAAGTCATGTATTTGATGCTAAAGTATGCAAGGGACAAGCCAAAGCAATCTCTGAACCGTTAGTGATGATCTTCAGGAATTCATGGAGGATGGGGGGAGGTCTCAGCTGACTTGAGACAGGCAAACATAGAACCTAGTCTTAAATGAGGGAGAGGCATGAGCAGAGAACATGTAGGGAATCACGGATCGGTTAACGGGATCTTCATTCCCAGGATGGTACAGGAAGAATTTACTAAAAATCAGTCTGTAAGAACCTAGAGAATTGTAACAAGGTTCTTTAAAAGGTGGATTCGTCAAAACCAGACTATGTCAAGCCAATCCAATTTCATTTCTTGCTGGAGTAATTGGCCTACTGGAACGGGATGTTGCAAACCTTACTGAAGTCAAGATACATGGCAAGGTCCCACGTGGCATTCGTGTAAGCAGTACAGGAGAGGTGGTTTAGAGGAACTGAAGTACAAGGGTGATGCATAATTGGTTTGATAAACTACTAGAGTGTGAGTTTTCATAATCCCCTGGTAAACTGAGAGAACATGTCAAGCAGGGTGCTACAGATGGAATAATCCCATTAGCACCAAGAAGGGAACAGAGATTTCTGTAAAGCCTGTAGAGGAAAGAAGGCTGGGAAGGGTTGCAAGCACCTCGGTATGTTGAGATTTTAGTGAATTCTGTCATAGCTCTTCATAGCCCTGAATTAAACAGGGTTTTGAAATCACAACATCCTTTAAAAAAAAACATCTTGCATAGTGTAGTCAGAAGAGCATAGATGCAGCTTTCTTCTTCTGAGACCTGCTTGTATCAAAGCAACGCGTTGCTCAGTTGGTAAACAGTGCAGGGACAGGATAATCTGCCTGCGCACCGTGAGCGAAGCTGAACCACAGCAAACAGAGATGTGATACAGAGATTTAGCTAAAAAGCTGCAGGTGATGCAGTTGCATGTGGACTTGTAGGCTTACAGGCACTGTGAATGCTATTGGGTAAATGAGGGGACTGGAGAAAAACACTTATTGATTTGTTGGACAGGTTTCCCATTGTAGGCGTTACCTCCAGCCTTATCTCGAGCACGCTTCAACACTGCCTGTCAGGTCAAACGCTGCTTTCACTTGCGCTCTGTGGCATCCCAGAATGGGACCCTGAGCAAGGTCAGTCAGGCTGCCCTGGGTATGGATCCTACGTGCTGCACAAGGGATGAGGCACTGCAGAGTACCACAGTCAGTTTTCAAACTGCAACTTCAGTCAGCAAAACTAGCTGTTAAGTAGCTTTTGAAAATGGACATTTCTGGCATTTCTGAAATTTTACTCAAGATGGCAGAAAGATTAGGTAATACCACCCAGCTCTTCCCCAAGAGCATTGCTCAACATTGAGTCTTGGCAGTTGTCTTTCTTTTGTGAAGAGCCCTTCAGCCCCACAGAGAAGCAGTATGGTTAATAATGCTCTACCTCTCGTCCCCCAGGACACCGAGACAAATGGATCCATTCAGCTTTGCTTCATGGTTCTCTCACTGCAAAGATAAATGAGGTGGCCTGCAATACATACTTTTTATGTACGTTAAAATAAATATCTTTTACACTTCTGTGCAGTTTTACGGACTGCCAGCATGAACTGGTGGAAGAAGGGTATCTTTCAAGTCCAGTACTATTAAATAATTGTCATCCTGGAATGATGATTACCCAAGATTTATTGAGCATTGTCAGTGTCCTTAATGCCGTCTAACTGTATCCTTGGCATGAAAAGCCCTCATGTCAGACTGTGCACTTCGAATGTAGGCACAGAAGTAGGGCAGAGGGTGACTGTTAAAAACATCTGGGGAGGTTTTTTACGAAAAAGTGAGGCGAGGTGCACAGTTTCAAAAACAGAGCTTGTGGAGCAGCACTGGGTGGCAGCTATGGATGAACACTCTTGTCTTTTGCCTGAAGAAAAAATGTGAAGCTAGGAATTATTTGTCTTCCTTCCTATCCACAGCCTCTGCCCTCCCATAATTAAGAAGAAAGAATCATGTTGTCGTATGGCGAAAAATAGTATTTCTTTTCCCCCTCTCATTTCTTCTAACTGCCTTTCTTCCTTTTACACTGTTTTTCCTTTAAGACTTTGTGGTGAACAAAGCTGGCCTTCTGTTTTTAACCTGTTACATGCTGTTCCCTTTCCCAACCATCTGAAACAGCTACTGAGTATTCCCCTTGAACTTGAGCATGCCCCCACTTTGGGAAGTAGATGATGTTCAACTATCTAAAAATTCATGTACCTATGGGATTTCTGGTATGAGAAATCAGTGTCTGATTTTATTTCAAGAAGAAAACTATTACAGTTTATAACCCTCTGCAGAAGTTTGTGCATCATTTCCAGCAAACTAGTTGTGGTCCCTGTGGGCTAAAACTCCCTTTTTTATTTAAGGCGATATTTATTTTCTGAATTTCTGTAGGCCTCAAATTTATTTGGTGGTACTTTAGTTTTTCTTAGAAATGGACAAGGAATTCTGAACAGAAAATACATAATTTTGTTTGGCTTCTGCTTGCTCTATCAGTCTTCAATGCTTTTTCTCTCTGGTACAGTTTGCACTATCAATCATGTCCCTGTTAATGCATAGAGACATGAAAACAGATTTTAGTTAATTGCCATGTGCTAGCAATCAACTTTTATTAGTTTGGGATTGGTCTTCAATTTGAGAATGACATGTGAGGAGCTAGGAAGAAAGGATAGTCGTCTTTTGTCTGTCAAAGTGCCTTAAAAAGGCATTGTTTTGCCTGTTTTCAGACTTGGGAGAAAGGCCCTGCATATATAGTGCACTAGAAAAACCCTCTAAACCTGCCTTTTCTGGGACCCTTCACAACCCTGACACGAAAGACATGACAGAGTCAGTAGCGGAGGTGTCATATTGGGGTTGAGTTTGTGATAGGAAGGACTTGAGCTCACAGGGCAGTCGAGAGAAGTTGTCATAGCACAGACAAAGCAGTCCAAATGCAAAACTGATGTAGGACAACTGACCTCAGCATTGTGCCAAGAAAAAGGTTTCTGAAGAAAGGGAAACAGCCAGAAAGCTACCTGTTTTACACCATCCTGTGTTCTATGCCTTTCACTGCATTGACATGACCTAAACCAAATTTCAGCCTGTAATAACTGGATTGGATTTTGCCTTTCTTAACTTAGCTTCGAGTATCTCTCTTTGGAATGGGTCTGCTGGTTTCAGGGGATGAACAGTGGCAGATTGAACCCCAAAGGACTGAATTACCTTAAGCCAAAATATGTAGCAGAATAGAAGTTGCTCTTTAAATTGAACTAATTCCACTGTCTCTTCTTTGCTACAGGTGGTGGATGTGGACTTTAAAACAGTGTGTCTCAACATTTCATCCTCAACTATCTATTTTTAATCTGATTGCACTACAAAAGAAAAGCTGCTAATGGGATAAATGTTGAGACTTTACAAGAACTGACTTGAAGTACCGAAAGCCATTATTATTAATCAAGAAGAGCTTGAAGCTAAGTCTGTATCTGACCAGTCAGTACCATTTTCACATAACAGGCATGGCAAGTAAACGAAAATCAACAACACCATGCATGGTCTTAGCCAACGAGCAGGATCCAGATCTAGAAATGGTATCAGACTTGGAGGAAGGCCCACCTGTACTCGCGCCAGCAGATAACCCTACAGCAGAGAGCGTAACAAGTGATGAGGATGTTCATGAGTGTGTGGATTCAGACAATCAGAAAAATACAAATAAAGTAGAAGGTGGTTACGAGTGTAAATACTGTACTTTTCAAACTCCAGATCTCAATATGTTTACTTTTCATGTGGATTCGGAACATCCCAACGTAGTATTAAATTCATCCTACGTTTGTGTAGAATGCAATTTCCTTACCAAAAGATACGATGCTCTCTCAGAACATAATTTGAAGTACCACCCTGGAGAGGAGAATTTTAAATTGACCATGGTGAAACGTAATAATCAGACAATCTTTGAACAAACAGTAAACGATCTCACTTTTGATGGGAGTTTTGTTAGAGAAGAAAACGCTGAACAGGCCGACTCTTCTGAGGTCCCCTCATCAGGGATCTCCATTAGCAAAACTCCTATTATGAAAATGATGAAAAACAAAACCGAGACGAAACGTATCGCTGTTTTCCACAATGTAGTTGATGACATTCCTGGTGAAGAAAAGGGAACTGAAAATGAGCCAAACTCTGAAGAAGTAGTAGAAAACCCACCACCGGCAGTTTCTGAGTCAAAAGCGAGCCATTCAGTTGTTTGCAGTGCAGCAGATGTGGCTAGTGCGGTAGTGACTCCAGCACCAGTGCTTCAGCCTGGGGTGGCACAGGTTATAACAGCTGTTACAGCTCCGCAGAACTCAAACCTGATTCCAAAAGTCCTAATACCTGTAAATAGCATTCCAGCCTATAATACTGCTTTGGATAACAATCCTCTTTTGCTTAACACCTACAACAAATTCCCATATCCAACCATGTCGGAAATCACTGTTCTTTCCACTCAAGCGAAGTACACAGAGGAACAGATTAAAATATGGTTTTCTGCCCAGCGTCTGAAGCACGGTGTGAGCTGGACACCGGAGGAAGTGGAGGAAGCAAGGAGGAAACAATTTAATGGCACAGTGCATACTGTGCCACAGACAATTACCGTTATTCCAGCACACATTTCCGCCGCTAGCAATGGTTTACCTTCAATTCTGCAGACATGCCAAATAGTTGGTCAGCCAGGACTTGTTCTCACTCAAGTTGCAGGTGCAAATACGTTACCAGTAACAGCCCCGATAGCTTTGACTGTAGCAGGAGTCCCAAACCAAACACAGTTACAGAAGAGTCAGATTCACACTGCTCAGCCTATTGCAGAAACCAAACAAGTAGCTGCCGTTCCAGCCCCTCAGCCTATCAAAAATGAATCCGCACTGATGAATCCTGACTCCTTCGGCATCCGAGCAAAAAAAACTAAGGAACAACTGGCAGAATTGAAAGTCAGCTACCTTAAAAATCAGTTTCCTCAAGATTCAGAAATCGTTAGACTTATGAAAATAACAGGCCTGACTAAAGGAGAGATCAAAAAGTGGTTCAGCGATACACGCTACAATCAGAGAAACTCAAAGAATAATCATGGGATTCATCTCAACAGTGATTCATGTGCCACTATTGTTATTGATTCAAGCGATGAAATGAATGAGTCCCCAACGGGAGTCACTGCACAGAGCAAGTCATCGTGGAGCGCTTTTCCTGATTTCACCCCACAGAAATTCAAAGAGAAGACTGCTGAACAGCTTCAAGTCCTCCAAGCAAGTTTTCTGAATAACCCTGTCCTTACTGATGAAGAGATGAATAGGTTAAGAGCCCAAACCAAACTGACCAGGAGAGAGATTGATGCCTGGTTTACAGAAAGAAGGAAATCAAATGTCTTAAAGGAAGAGGGAGCTGACTTGAATGAGAGCAATGCTGGCAGCTCAAAAGAAGAGGCTGGAGAAACATCTGTGGGAGATGGAGCAGCAGGAGCAAAATCAGGGTGTTCCACTTCAAGCAAAATAGGCAAAAAATCACCAGAGCAGTTGCACATGCTTAAAAGTTCCTTTGTCCGTACTCAGTGGCCGTCTCCGCAAGAATACAACAAGCTGGCAGAAGAAACTGGGCTCCCAAGATCAGAAATTGTGAGCTGGTTTGGAGATACTCGCTACGCCTGGAAAAATGGTGGATTGAAATGGTACTACTATTACCAGAGCGCCAATGCAAACAGTCTGAACGGCCAAGGCTTTGCAAGGAAGAGAGGGAGAGGAAGACCAAAAGGGAGGGGGAGAGGGAGGCCTCGGGGGAGGCCTCGGGGAAGCAAGAGGTTAAATTGCTGGGACAGAGGTGTGTCTGTCATAAAATTCAAAACTGGAACAGCAATCCTGAAGGACTACTATATGAAGCACAAATTCCTTAATGAGCAAGACCTTGATGAACTGGTAGCCAAATCTCATATGGGATATGAGCAGGTCAGAGAGTGGTTTGCAGAAAGGCAGAGACGATTAGAACTTGGAATAGAGCTGTTTGATGAGAACGAGGAGGAAGATGAAATGCTGGAAGATCAGGAAGATGAGGAAGAAACAGATGATAGTGATACTTGGGAACCCCCCCGACATGTTAAGCGTAAACTTTCAAAATCAGATTGATGTGCAATTTGGGATTTGGGGGCCAAAAACCTATGAATTAGGTTTGATGTTATGGTGAAGAGCCAAATGATTTTTCATGGCCTTCAGTTTAGCAAGCACCTGCTTAGCATCTTCCTTCCACCTAAAAGAACATGGGCAAGATGCTACCTGTGCAGGCAACAACTATTTGCTTCCTTGCTACAAGAGATGGACATCCTCAGGCCTAGCCTAGGACGTGGAGGTATAAATCAGATCTGGTTCAGCTCCTCCTCTTCCACGTTACTGATGGGAAGGTTCATGTTCATCATTCACGTGACTGCTTCTCAATATTTAATTGCCTTATGTCATTTAATTCCAAAAAAACACAGAGACATTTTTTCGTTGATGTAGGAGAACATTGCCTGCTCATGAAGGAGGAAAATACAAAAACCTAAGATGTCTTTTTGCATACATCGCTTCACCTGAAAGTTTCAAGGCCTGGGTTTATTTCTTAAGGATAAGAGTTCAAAACAAAAGAGAAGGGGAAAAGTGTGACAAAGGAATCAATGAACCTAGGGGTGAGAATTGCTTGGTTTAAGAAAATGAGGTGATATTGGCACCTTTTGCGTATCTTCAGAGTGTTTTGGGTTTACAGAACTTGTGCTGAAATGTTCCTTGTTGATAACTATGAGCTAACTGAATGAGTCTAATGCTAGAAGATGCTTTTCGTTACATTTAATCAGTGTATCCTACATCAATTTAATTTAAATGCCTGACAGACTTGATGCAGTTGATAGTAACATTCGTTTTTAGCTTGTGCGTTCTTTCCTTTGTTGGAAATGGTAAGAAAAGTATGTATATTTCTAGCTAAAAAGAATAACTTCTTGAAATCTTACACTGAATTTTAAGGTAAACGTGAAGCGGAAACTGCCTAAAAGTCATTCAGAGTTGCTATGGGGTTTGTAAGAATACACAGATGCAGAGATGGAAAGCGTCTTCGGGTGCTAGTAAGAAAGGTTTTCGAGTAAGTTGTGGCAATGACATGATGTTTAGTTCTCAAACAAAATGAAGTTATATGGCTTTTAGATGCTTAGGAATGATAAACATGTTAGCGTTTAATTGTTCTTCAGCAATAGCCCAGTTGAATGATTTGTGCACAAGTTTAACCTAAGTTCATCCTGATGGATTGAGCTCGCCACTATGCTGATTGTTCTTAGGGCTGCTGGGTGAACGCCCTTATTTTTAGAGGTGGTTTGATCTACCTGAACTGAACTCCAGAAATAGTTTCATCTGATACAAAACATCTACATCTTGAATAAGTGTCTTTAAATTGGGGGGAAGCCATTTTAGACATTGAAATCATAGTAGAGTTTGAATTACCAACTTAAAAACAATGGGCCAAATTCATGGAAGTTAGTTTAGGCAGATGTCTGGCATCCTAGAGAACTGGTACTCTGAGGAGTAGTAGTGTGTGTTCCTGCTACTGTCGGTCTGCATTTTTTAGGGATAAGTTACTTTATATTTAGATGTCAAAAGATGATGATGAACTGGTGCTGCTGTTGCCAGTGTTGTCTGCTTTTACGTTAGCGCTAATGGAAAAGATACTAGCAATCTCCTTTTGCGCATCTGTCAGCATCTTCTCTGTAGGCTTCTGCATCTGATGACCAATGAGAGACAGATTAGCGTAAGAGAAAATGTGTCCTAATGTTTCCACATTTCCAAGAACCTAATCTGGAGTACTCTTTCTTTCTCACTGTGATAACTGTTAGAAGACCAAGAAAATCCTTTTAGTCATGATTTTCTGAAGCAGAGGAGTCCCTGTTAGATCTGTTTTTCATACCTGATCGTGGGTGAAACCCAGGTCAAAACAAGAAAGGGAATAACATCTGACAAAAAAATACTGTTAACTCACCTTCCTCTCTGGACACTTGTAGCTGCCCTTCTGCTCCCAGATTGAACAGGCTGCCTGAGTTGCAGGAGGATGTTCTGTGTGAAAGCCATTTACCAGGGTGAGCTCTTCTGATGATTTGAGATTGCTGGAAAGAAAAAGGTAATGGCTTTTGGTGTGTGACACGAATTTGATGATGAAACTGTTTCATGGCTTCCAAGACTCAAATCAGTGAGGCACAAAGTGGCCAGCAGTGCTAGAGAGGACTAGCCAAGAATCCCTCAGTTTAACTTTGGGGCGGGGGAGAAGCAAAACCGTGTTGTCAGCGTATTTCATGGGAGTGCTTATGACGCTGGATGTGAGGTGGTGTAAGAGACATCAGGATCTTTTCAGCATTGACTGCTACATGTGGTTGGGAGGTATTCTTGTTTGGCTGGTAATGGTATGGTTGAGGCTGTTGTAGATGCCAGCAGATATAAGAAAGACTCGCATTAGCTTCAAGCTCCACTGGGAATACAGGGTCAAAAATCAGTGCTTGCTGAGTGGGAAAGGACAAAGTTAGTAGGAAGCAAATCCGTAAAATCCTTGGGAATATGCCTCTAGCAAGCAAAATCTGGAGTTGTCTTAGTCCTTAAGGTTGACTCAGAATTAATTTTCTTTTAAAAAAACCAACCAACCAAACAAACAAACAAAAAAAATCCACCCAAGCAACCTGTCCAAATAAACATCTCCATTTTTTTTGTTAGCAGAGACTGCATTAAGGTTAACATTAAATCCAACCTTCTTTAAAAGATGGGAAAAAATATAGATCCAAGTTAATTATATGATTAAACTGGGAAATCTTCCATTTTGTCAGTGTTCTGTTAAATAGCACTCAGCTACAATGGTAGGCCTTAGCACATCTGGTCTAAAAAACACACGAAGAGGAAATACATTGTTTATCAGACTAAATATAGTTGGATGTCTTCTTTCAGTAAAATGGTCAGAGATGGTGGCTGATGTATACTGGGCCAGATTTTCAGTTGCTGTAAATATTACAGTTCCATGTGTTCCAGTGGTTATAATAGTATTTACAGCCCATTGAGGAACATCATCTCTTTGCAGAGTATAAAATTTAAATTAAACCATGTGCTGTGGGTTGGCTAATGAGAGATGCAGAGTACCGACATTTCCTTGGGCTACGTGCACATTGTAAGCCTTTCAGTTGTGCCAAGGATGAGAAAAATCTGGGTGGGTTCAGCCTGAAGACAACAGTTGTATGCATTCATTATTGCTTGTAATCTGTCTGTTATTTCTGTTTGAACAAACACAGTCCATTAATTACCAGTTTATTTCATGTTTACAGCATGTGTATATTTGCACTGCATACTGGGAGAGAGGGAAACTCCTTCCGGAGGCCTCCCGCATCAGGACTGACAGGAGAAGCACTGGAAAGAGCTGTCAGCATGCTGGTCTGTTTTATCTGTGCATTGTGGTTGTGGCTGGTGGGAACTCAAAGCTACCGGTAACAGCAGTTTAGCCTAGATTCATCTCATCTAACCTGAGGCTGCTGTGCTCCTTACCTAGGTGCCCAAGGCACACTGTGTAGTCACCTGAGAGAAACAGGCATCGCCTGGCGGGTGGAGGGGATACGGCACCTTCTCATTCTACCAGTTTCATACAGGCAACTTCCTGAACCTCAGCAAGTGTCTTAATTTATGATGAATCCAAGCATCACTGTGCTCATCAGCAGTGTGCCCCTGCAGCCTGGCTCCCTCCTGCAGCTTACGCCCACCTGCAAGGTGTTTTGGAAGCCCCTTGGACTGAGCTCCATTGACAGTGGGGAGGGAAGGGGCGAGAAAGTACATCTACTCAGTGGTGAGTGTCCATGTGGGGTTTTGTTGATTTCCCTGCTCGGTGAAGAGCTGTGTGTAGAGTAGCCTGTGGTACGTTTTCTGTATTTCTGTGGAGCTTCAGCTCTTAGGTTTGAGCTAGTTATGAGCCAGGCTTCAGTGATTGTCATTGACAGGGAGATGAAGAAACTCTTTGATCTTGATTAGATCTTACCTGTAGGTAGCTGGTTTGTTCTCAGTCTTTGCTGGGAGCACTGTTTCAGAATTCAGCTGTGAGCATCAGTTCCTTTAGAGCTAAGGTAGAGATTTCGTCTGCTGTTTCTGCCAGGAGTACCTGGTCTGGTGATGCTAGTTACTGCTGCCTCTGGAATTCAGCTAAAGAGAGAATAAAGAGAATCCTGCACCAGAACGGAGAGGGAGAAGGGCTAAAAGAAAGCAAGCAGTGTCACTGTATTGTGCTGCTTCATGCATGTTTTGCTCTTGCTTTTGAGTACAATGAAAGAGCACAGTTCCATCTTAAACAGTGCTGTCTTCCCAGTATCAACCTCTTAATGACCCCGAGGTCAGTGTTTGTTTGTAAAAAGAAAGTCAGGCCTATTCCTCCCATGAGGTTTGAATGAACTAACAGAGTAAGAAGTGGAAAGAAGAGAAAATGCAGAACCTTGAAGGCTCTTGACTTTTGCTTGCCCTGCAGAATTCACTTTCCTAGAAGTTGATAAGCAGAACAAGTTTTACTCTTGCTGTTCTGACAGAACAAGTATTGCAGTCACTCATTTTCAGCACGTAGAAATGCCTGCTTTGTTTTGAAAATAAAGGAGAAGAAAGATATCTAGTACCTCATGATGAGAATTTAGTGGATTATCTCTAATACACTATAATAAATGAGGCCATTGCCTTTTTTGAACTTGTCCAGTACCATTTTAAAAACTGCTTTTTCATGACATTATATGCAATACGCTGTCTGGCTGTAACTTTGATTATTGGGAAGGAAATTCTTGCAATGTCCGCACATGACATGAAATAATTTTTCTAATGCATGATTTGCTGACTTTGGGCAAAAGCCTATTTTCTTCCTGCTCGCCAAGGAATTCTTGAGGCAGGCAAATGCACTCCCTTCTCCTCTACAGAGCAGAGAAAGCATTTCTGGAGCCCATACAAAGTGATTCATGGCCTTATGCAGTCCCCGTAGGCCAGAAAGCCCAAAGATGCAGACACTCTCTTCCTCCTCCGTTTTCCTCTGAAATGAGAGCACAGCAGTAACTCTGACAACTAGTCTCTGGCTGCTGAGTAACCAAGCTGTAGTTTAAGGTGGGGAGCGTTTT